GCAATGCTGCACGTTGCATATTTCGGGTCGTGTTGCAGTCAGTGCAGGTCCAGTTAATCGGCTGCAACATACATATTCAGGTCATCATTATTGATTCGCACTCGCCGCCGTTGTGCGTATAGAGACATGAATTTTACGTACGCACTCACAAACACACACGCACATACGCATGCATTTATATAGTATACACGCACACACACACACACACACACACACTATCAGCCTGGCATGTACATTTTTCGGACATTATGTAGCATGCAGTTGCATATGGCAACGGCCTCGTTATGTATTTTGAGCCCTACTTAGTTGCAGGCGCTATTAACTCTGGTCAGGCTCATTACTAGCGCACAATCGTTTCGCCCCTACTCACATACACACGCACACGTGCACACACACACCGCTCTTCTACTAATCAGCAGCCATTATGTAAAGTCAGTCAAGCAAGCAGCAGCAAGTCGTCGCATGTACATTGCGGCGTATGCGCAACGTGCCCCAGCTCAACCAATTTAAGGCGTTGCAAATTGCTCTTGCCGCAATTCACCTGACGAGCCAGAGCTCGCATAGTTAACGAAGCACCCACGGTTTCGCCGCGGCTCTAATTCAAGGGAAAGAAAAATGAACAAAATTAAAACGATATCCATTTTAGCTCAGCAATTTCGTCTTGCTGCCGCCTTGCAGTGCAAGACTTTCATATCTCGTATTTCAGCGCCCTGAATACGCACTGCGTTGGCAATTTGCTGACAGCAGACAGGACGCGACAAGGACGACTGCCTGTCAGCCAGACTCTTGGGCCTGACTCTGCTTGCCTAGGCGAGCAAAAACTCGTTTAGTTTTCATTTCATTTTCCAACCAACGCTGAAAATGCGTTTGCCAGGCAATTTTTGCTATATTCCCAGCTGCCTTGGCATAACCTCATACAATTTCTTTAACATTTATTAGAATTTGTGCGAAGAATTTTAGGTTTGAGTTAGGAGGCCGCTCGTCCTGGCTTCCCAACTCTAAATTGCTTGCAGCCTCCCATAGACATTGTGTATATAAACATGGACATTCCTTTCCTTTTCTTGCTCAAATCGCTGTCTGCAGCTACCCAAACAGCGCAGGCCCAGCCGGCTGCCGTGGGCCTGACGTGGTGCCACGCATTTTGCAGGGCGTGTGGGGCAAGTTGTATGCCTCAGTGGCGGCGTGTCATAAAAATGTCGACGCCACCAACGCGCAAAATGACAGCTGTACAATGGGTTTTTTGTACTCATACAATACATAACAAAAAGCACTTAAACAAGGCCCTAGGTTCAGCGTTAGCCAAACTATTTATGCATCCTTAAACTAATAACATAAAACATACTTGGTTATATAGAGGTCCAAATGAACTCACCTGATTATGAGGCGGAGGTATACGGAATCAACATTTATAGTTATAGCTTCCCACATGAATTCGCAGACTCCGGATCTTGCACTTACCTTTTACAATATTATTTGTTCCCTTATAAAATGTGTTCGCTATCGACGGTCGAGATTAAAGTCATATTTCTATAAATAAGGGATAAAAGTAATAATTATAAGAACCGTAAAGACTACGATTATATATATTATAAAGCTAATAAATATTAAGTTATATAGAAGAGTTTAGATCAATCTTTAGCTAACCTGTGCAAAAAATAGCGCTGGCTGCTGAGGCCTTCCAGAAGAACCAAGTTTAAAATGGGTACATACATGTTTATCTTATAAATAGTACAATTAAAAAAAATCTGAACAGGCTAGAGAAATTAAATTTTGTCGGATTTTATATCAATGATAGTTTAGTTGAAAACTGATAAATATTATTTTCTTTAAGAAAAGTGTGAATACTTTTTGTGGAGTAAAAAGATATAATAATAAAATAGAATAGATATTGATATAGAGAGCTATATGCAATAAAGAAGCGCACATTGCAGACTAATCCATTTATATTCCATGACCTATTTAACATCCTTTTTTTCCTCTAAAAATACCATATTTTGCCATAGTACATGCTTTTACCTTCGCCTGCTAGCTGCTTGTTTATTTTTGTCCTCTGCATGTTGTGGAATTATTTTATACACATTTATTTTTCATTTTTTCTGTTTTTTATCATCTATTTTCTGGCTGTTGTTGTTGTTGTTGCTGCTTGTGTTGTTATTCGTGTTGCCGTGGCTGCCGTTTGCCTTCAGTTTGTCGGCTAGGCAACTTCGCGCTATTGCCCTGATTAGAGGTGTTGATAAGCCCCATGTCATTCCATCTCAAGCTGCCCGTTTAAATTATGCATCTATCTATCTTGTTCGGTGCGTTTTGCATTAGCTGTGCTTATCGCATCGCCGCATTCTGCGAGAAATATCCAGCAACAGGAACCGACATGTTTTCCAGCGTGTTCCACCAGTTGCCGCTGGCGGGAGTGGCCTATACTGCAGCAACAACAACAGAAATACATAGATTTGTACATTTATGTATATGTACAACAGCTTGAAATGCCGTCATGTGCAGTCTATGACATTGTTTCGTTAAAAAGCAAAGTGCCCCAACAATGGAGCTGCTGCTGCGCCATGCACTTGAAATACCAGTCAAGAGCAGCGGCAGCTACGTTGCAGCCACCCCAAAATATGCAGCAGCATTTGTTGTTGGAAATGCCAACGGAAAATGGTTTTTGAGGCCAATGTTTGTTTTTCTTTGTGTTTATTTGTTTTGTTAGTTTTGTAATATTTTCTTTTTGCTCCATAGAACAACAACATTTACGGTGTTTGCAAAAGTAATTACACACATGATGATCAACTTGGGGGCCAGGGACTAGCAGCACCTTGCAGAGAATGGCCAACCCTACAAGGGTTGGGTCACGTTATGATTGAAGTCATCTTCTAGCCACTTACTTTTAGTTTTGCATAAGGCAATTTATTCTCTATTTATTTTGTGCGAATAAAAATCAATTGATGTTTAACGGATTTCAATTGTGTGCGCAATTATTTTAAAATTTACAAAATATTTCATTTCGGCCCACTTGAAATGCCCCAAATAATAAATAAACGTTTGCAATGTGATTATAAATTGTATTTTTATTTATACATTTCTTCAAAATATATTTGTTGCTCGTTATATTGCAAGCTTTTTAACTCTCGCTCATTTAACACTCACAGCCATTTCCAATTGCTTGCGCTGCGTATTAGTGTAAGAACGAGAGCGCGATCGGCCATGGGACCGGCCCCTAGAATGGCCGCGAGAACGTCCACGAGAATGAGAACGGTCTCGCCTGCGCCCTCGTTCGACTGCATAGATTTTCCTTCTGAGCACAAGTTCATTGTCGGAACAGTCGGAGTCGTAATAGTCTCTGCAACGACAGCGATCTCGCTCTGCTAAGAGCTGATTCTCCTCCAAGTTCTTCAAGACATCTATAAGCAAACACTGCGCTTTATTAGCCTGTTTAATTAGTTGGCTCATCAGGCTCATGGTATCATTGTTTAAATGATTGCGACCCATGATACTTTGGTATTTTCTTTAACTAATCACAAACACACTTCTATTGGAACTTACTCTCACTGTCAGTGTGCTCACACTTGCTTGCTATCACAGCTCTCGCTTTCAACTGATAGCAAGCTCAGCGCTGCCGCAGCTTTTATAGAAATACAGCTAACGTTTGATAAACGTTTACAAACGTTCGACAAGCTGTTTATATACGTGTAAAAACGTTTACGGGCTTTCGTTGAACGCGAACGTAAAGTAAACGTTTACTCGGACGCTGGGTCATAACAATCTGTTAAAATATATGTAAATACCATGTTTCGACATTTATGCAGAGTATTCAACGCAAATCATGCCGAATGCCATGACAATTCAAAAACATAAAGCAAAGCTGTATCCGTACATAAATTCGCTCTTAAAAAAATCAAAATGCCTCCTCATTGAAACGAAATTAAACTCAAGTGAGGATTATTTATCACGGGATGGCCCTTAACATAAGAGTATGCTGGGGTAAAGTCTACATAAATGTGTAAAATGGCTTAAAAGAGTCGTGTGATCGACAGGAACCCTTTTCGTAATGAACCTTCTCCTATAGGAAGGAGCTGAATCGATTATATCATCTGTTTGTAAGAAAGAGAGGATGTAGAATACCTTAGAGCTAGTAAGCTTTACATAATCGGCATCACAAGCATAACATACGCAGGTCAAGTCAGACAAAGTCTTAAGGCAGACCAACTGTTAAAATCGTAGGACTTTGGGACAAACAAGCCTCGAAAAGTTATCTCCCACCTCTAAAGATGGAACAAAAAATATACGAGCCAAATCCATCCCAAAGCCAATGTTTAAAAGTAACAATTTTGGGGCACAGTCTTAATTTCACCAAAGCAAAATGACTTTCCGGCTGATTGATTCGGTAGTGTGACTACCTTAAAGAAGAGTATTGGAAACTTAGCTAAGCCTGACTATTACAGTTACAGTTACAGTTGTTTAAACAAGTAATGGGAGTTATAAAGTATAACAGATATACAGATCAATAATACATAATTAACATTTTTGTTCAGTCTCTCAAATAAAACTATCCCGAATCAAACTCAAACTTAGGGTTTAAGTTAACCAAAGCCTGTAATATTTGCTGATTCAAACAAAAATCTTTAACTCTATATACGCTCCTGCAAATTGGTCAATGCTACGAAAAATTGGATTTATACTGGTCCAGAAGCAACAGTAGGGCATCCAATATAGGATATCTAAAAGAAATCGCGGCCATTGCGTACACAAACAGAATACGAATGAATCGCACCCAACTTCAATAAGCTTCAACTTAGTTTCACCATGAAATCCCTGGAAACTTCAATTGTCGGCAGTCTGACGGAGCTGAGCACATTTTGTGCAGTGTAGGAGTACGTGAGCTTGTGCAGACCACGTTCATCTTGTGCTTGGCTCCTCAAGTAGCTTCAAGTTAGGAATTCATTGTTAGTTATGCGATTTCATTGCTTGTTTTCTTTTGCGAATTTCTTGCGACAACAGCAGCCATGAAGATGAGGACACCCAAGCAAACTAAACGTCTTTCATTGGATTTTGGCATGCCAGGCATCATGGCTGGAATCACGACTTCAGGCAGCCACCAGCAAAACAACAGCAACAACAACGATGCCAACCAAGGACCTGTAAGCCACCCTCAATCGCATTGCATTGCACGGCAGCAAGTCAAAGTCAAAGTGTTCGACATTATTTGAAATTCATGAGTGGCATTCTCTGCTGGCGCTGTCTTCCCTAGCTCTGGCATGAGCTCTACGTTTTGTCTGGCAAATAAATTCAAGTAACACCAGCTGATAATGGCATATTACCCACACTCAAACCCCCACTCACATATAGCCCCCCCCCCCCCTCTCCCCCTTCACGCACACTTCTAATTGAACACGCACGCTAATTAAGACACCAATAGTTTTGGCTTTACTTCTAGCTTCCACTTTTTGTTCGTGATGTCGATTGTGTGTTTCTCCCCGGTTATTTGGTCCTTGACTGCTTTGCTTCGCAATCCAATTTTCGTTTCGCTTCTTGTGCTCTCGCATGTAACGCAATTATTACGCTAATTAACTGTTTAAGTTTATGCTAATTAATCGCTCGCAAGTCGCCCGAAACATTTCCTGGCTAGCGTTCAATTTAAAGGAGCCCTTATGCAATAACGCGCTAGGCAAACAAATAGTTTTGCTTGCACATACGAAGTATAAACAATTTGTATTTAAACAATCTTCATGCTACTTACTACTTTACTTATATATATATATATATATAAATAAAACAGTATATATAAATAGTACTCAAAAGTTGTATGGATGACAACTTAAATAATTATTTGAATATTTGGGCTTCCATCTGATAGACTCTCACTTTTGTCTAAATATCTACATAAAATTTCCATCGTTTGCGGAAAGTTCAGTAGGATGCAAACTTAGACTTTATACACCAACATTTTTATTGCTTAAAGAATAATACGCATAAAAGATGCAAGCTTTATAATGGATGTTTATGCAAACTAACTTAGCAGGTTTCCTTTTAGTATTTCCCAAGAAATTCGCGGCTTATAATATATATATCCTGTCAACTTCTTTATGTTCTAAGTACATTAAAAAATCTCAAAAATAAAAAACAAACCCATTTTAAAACATGTACTGTAAGCACCTTGCTATTATGCACTTTCCAACTTAGGCAGCAACAAATGCACTAAAATCTTACTCCAATTGGTGAACCCTTCACCCCTTGCATTCCCTCTGTGGCCTGCAGCACACCCTTGCTGACTCTGACACTGGTGTCCATGGCAAGTAATGCTTCATTCCCGGCTTTCACACGTCACCGTCACTCAGCAGCGAGCGGAAACAGTTAGCAGCCATCATGACTTTCCCATTCGCCATCCGCGTGCCTAGTTGCTGGACATGTATGTGTGCGCATTTCTTAAAGTTTGTTTGTATGTGTCTGTGTGTACATGTAATTATTGTAGGTCCAACGTCATCGTCATCGTCGTGTTTGTGTCGACAACGCCAACTTGTTTGCATACAAATTAAACTCGTCATTTATGTGAGCGCTCTCTTTTTCTCATTTTCTCTCTCACTCTATCTCCAATGCTCTCCCTATCTCAGTCTCTCTCCCTCTCTCTCTCTCTCTCTCTCTCTCTCTCACTCTCTCTCTCTGTCTCTTCCTACCTCTCTCTGTTACTTTCTCCCCTTTGTACTCTCTCGCCCACTCAATAGCGCGCTCCGTTGCACACTGCAGATTAATTTATCATCTCGCTTTACAAGCATTCTATGAGTGTAATGAACTTTTAACAAGCAACTGCCACACCCACAATGCCCACCGCCCTATACACAGCCCGTCGACGCGTTAGTTTTTGCGCATCCAATTAGTTTTTGCATTTTTTCTCAATTCTTTTATTAGCGCAATGCAAATATTGTTCAACTGGTCCACTACACATTCATCTACCGTATACATATTATATATGTTATCTACCCGCACTATCTTTAACCCCACGGTTTGAGTTTTATTTTACATTAACAGTAAAAAAAATATAAATTTAATGGTTTAAAAAAAATGTATAGCCAAATGATGGAATCAATCGCTTCAGTCTTACGTTTATTAAGCCTTTGACCCGCATTTTTTATTTAAGAGCGGTGTATTTTGCGGAATATATAAAACACGTATAAGATGAGTTTTCATAAAGCTCTTAGAAAAAGATTCTTAAGCCGATCATACATCAAAAATTTTGAGTGAAAATTTCCTAGCTCTCATATAAAGATAAATATATATTTGTAATTACGTACTCACCTGAAAATCCACAAGCATGATTATTTTATCGTCCTCTATCAGTAAGTGGATGAACTTTTACATAAACACATCACTGAAAAAACAGAAAAGCAGAGATAATGATTATTAGTTTGCTTTCTAAACCTTACGTGAATAGATCAAAATCGATAATACGTTCCTTTTTCGTATTCTGCTCAACTCAACAAACGCACATATTTAAATACATACATAATTGTATGTATTAAATTGCATACAAGACAACATGCATACGATTGGAAAGTTGTTACGTTTTTTTTAAATATAATATGTTTGCAATACGTACCTATATTTTAAATTTCCTCGGCCCAATCCATAGCCTCCTCCATACTTGAATGCGTCTCTTTCTCTGCTTAAGCTGCTATCTCCCTTCAATATTAAAGCCACAGTCTCCTCCTTGTTCAAGCCGCCGCCTTCTGCTAAGCTGCCGTCTCCTTCCCAATTGAAGCCGTCTTCCTTGAATGTCACATACATAACACTTCCTGCATAATGTACAAATACTTGCACATACTTATCACTGCAACCTCACATGCATACACAAACACACATATACATTTATTTTGACTTACATACATACATGTTAACAGAAACATATATGTATACTTATATATAGACCTATATAAACACACGTACATACAAACATACATAAGTTCATACATGCATAAATACACATATACATACGTATATACATAAAAATACATATACACATCCATACGTACACATATACACACACACATACTGACACAGTCATGCACACATTATACAAGGCAGACTCGATTAGACGACGCAGAACATTTTTTTTTTTAATATTTGATAATGAGTTTAAAACCGGTCGCATGTTAAATAAAATGAGCACATGTATAAAAATCAAGCTTACTTTAACGAAAATAAATAATACTTAAGACCGATTAGGTACTGTAGATGTTTGTCCCATAATGTATATAATTATATATTTTAGATTCTCATATTCTTCAAACAAACTTCTAATAGCTTTGCATAAGATGCAAATACACATACACATACGTATATGTATCTTATGTATATAATATCCTATTAAATAGGTTATTATGTAGACAAAACTAATATTGTGTCAGAGCCGGGTGTTGCTTTTGCCACCTCAACAAAGTTGAAAAACATAATTAAAGTTTTGCATGGCGTCGATCCCTCGGGACCAATGCCTGGAACCAGGACTAAAGGTTGACTAATGCGCGCAGCTTTCACGCGCCGAAAGGTAATTAAAATGCTAATAAACACTCGTTAAGTACATAATAACCCAGCAGGAGCCGCAACAACAACAACAACAACAAACAACAACAACAAACAACGACAACGACAGCAGCCAACCGAAATAGAAGGCCCGACTAAGGCGACTTATCTGCAAATTTACACCAGGCACGAGTGCTCCACACGTAGCACACTTTAGTCTCGGCCAAATTTACTAAATTTATGTCTCAAATTTTCACAAATACATACAGCCAGCAACATGGAGCTCGTTTTTTGGCAGGTCCTCGCTGTGTTGACTCTGTCGCACTACTCGACTACTACTCATACTATTATTTTGATCAAGGACCGCATTGCTTATTATGCGTCGGACGTCGCCTCTAAAATATGAATTACAAGTCTGATTTAAATAAATTAGCTCATGCACACATAAACAAGAAGGTCATAAGCAGAGAAAGCAGTACAGCACTCGATACATACACAGCAAGCCAAGGGACAGAGACAATTCCCTTTGTTTGTCCTTGTCGTAGGCCTCGTAATATACTCACTAGTTGTTGACACACAAACACACCTAAGCAATATGAATACATACACCACACATATGTAACCCTACACATAATAAAAGGGTATCATGCTCGCTTTGCTATGCAATTCTCATGCTACAATATAGAAAATAGCGTAAGCGATTATTCTTTTACTGACTCTTAAGTATAGTATATACTATATCTCTTAATGAAATCAAGGGACAAATTCGTTGTTCAATAGAATTCCATTCAATTTTAATTTTAATGGATTGCGGAAATTTGATAAATATGTTGCTATACTTGGTCAGAAACTCCAATCTCGATGTGTTAAAAGAGTTCAAGAAAACTATAAATGAAATGCCAAAGGGCTTAGAGATACCTTCTGAAAGGCCAGAATCCAGGTTCGAATCCCATCCCAATGCACTTTCTTAATATTAAAAAATAAGATTAAAAAATAATATAATAGCAATAAGTAGTTACAAAATTGTTTTCTGCTTATTGGGGAACAGAAAAATGATCTAGCATGGATATTGACAAAGCGAAAACATTTGATTGATACAATGAATTCGCCCAATAATATGCCATAATTATATATTATATACTTAAGATCAAACAGATAACCGACATTTTTGCTAGTTTGTTTTCATCACTTGCATTAATGAGTTGAGATCCGGACCTAGAGCAACACCCTATATACAAGCCAGTCGCACCCTTTAGCCAGTTTTATCCCCAAACACTAAACTCAAATTTTAATTAAGTTTTTTCAAGTGTTTTTGCGCTTATGAAGCTGCCCAGGCACTCGCTACGGTTCCGTGACCCTGTGGTTCATAAATTGCTAGCAATTTCTCATACTTTTGTTGTTGTTGTTGTTGTTTTGGTGTGGAGGGGTGTTCCTTGGGTGGTGTTTGTTGTTGGTGATGGCGGTTGCTACTGTTGTGGTTAGAAGAAGGCAGCCCAGAACGTCGCTATTTAATATGTCAAATATGTTGGCCTTGCCCGGTTATTAGACACCAGGACCCAAGCACATTATAAATTATGACGTAAAAATGTAATAAAGCCCAGGATCGACCCACAGATAGTGTCAAATA